GGGAGGGTAACAAGGGAAAGTGTTCAGTGCAGATCAGTGAGTAAGCACCAGCCCGCCCGTGGTTACCTTGCTCCCGGAGACCTGGTCCCTCTCGGGAGGGTAACAAGGGAGCCGTCTGAGCACTAGTGACTGGGTTTTACCCCTTTCTCCTGCTCTTCCGGCCTGCTACTCTTGAAGTCTTAAAAGATTGCAAACTTTTATTCAGTATAAAATCTTGTTGAGGTTTTTGACATTCACAATTTCCTAGGGACTATCGAAATCTTACATCCATATTTACAAATCTTCCCTTATCAGAACTGAATATAACACAAATACTATCTGTGATTAACTGATTTTTAGATTTCCCCATGCTTATGAAACTTCCTAAACTTCATCACATAGTCTGCTTCTGAGCTTGAGTAGTGTTGATCATGATCAAAGAAAATTCTTCGTTTTATGTAAAATAATGAGAAAATCACAAATAAAATTTGTGTGTGTTTGTTCTTGATCCCCCCCCAACTAACAGTAATAAGATATACTTGTTTTTTCTCAAATTTTCTTAACTAGTTGAGGTTTTGTTTTGTTTGTTTTTCTCATTTGTTATCCTATAAATGTAATGGCTCTTTATTTTTTTTTTTTAATGCATGTATAAAGTATATTACAATTACAATTCAGAGTACTCTTTTAACTCTTTTTTGCTTTTTTCCCCCATTATATCTTGTTTAGAAGCTATGTAAAAGTTATATTTGACCACTTATCTGCTTACATTTTCTTTCTTTTTTTTTTTTCTTTCCATAGGATCGGAAACTCCATGGTACAGCTCAGCAAATGCTTCAGGACAGCAAGACAAAAATAGAAGTCATAAGAATGCAGATTCTTCAGGCAGTCCAGACCAATGAATTGGCTTTTGATAATGGTGAAGGGATAGAGATAAATTGCAATTTTTCTTATTAATGTCATTGTCAGATAGGCATGTATTAAGATGGATATATGATGCTAGACAAATCTTATGTGGAGGAAGTAGTGGTTCCAAAATGAAGGGGGAGGAGGGGCATCATGTTTTTTGAATTTGAGTTTTACACTCTATACATGAGATGTATCTCTGCAAAACTTTGTTCCTCACATTCAAGAATTTATCAATCTAGAATATATTTCTTTTTTTAATGGATTTCAAACACTTTTTATTTATGCTTTATTTTTAAAAATGTTACCGTTTATTTGAGTATGGTTTTTTGTCTTGTTTTTTAAATTGCAGATGAAATCTTGATAGCTACTTGCTAAGGAATTAATAAGAGCTATTTCAGTCTTATAATGTTTCAGTATATGGATATATTAACTTATCTATGATTGTAATTTTTATTTTGATTTGTAATTTAGATTTATGATGGCTCAAATGGAAAGCTCTGAATTTCAACATTGTATCTGTTCAATACTGTTTCAGTGTTCATTGCTTGATGGACTTTTTATATTAGTGTCATAAGAATTCATTCGTTTTTTGTTACTTTTAATTACTACATATTAAAAAGTCAAATAAATGGTTCAATTAAGATTTTTCTCCCCCCTTCCCCCTTTCTCTAGCAAAACCTGTGATAAGTCCTCTTGAACTTCGTATGGAAGAATTAAGACATCATTTTAGGATAGAGTTTGCAGTAGCAGAAGGTGCAAAGAATGTGATGAAATTACTTGGTTCAGGAAAAGTAACAGACAGAAAAGCACTTTCAGAAGTAATTTAAAATAAATTTTTAACTTGTTTAATAAGCACATTTTTTAAAGAATATAATTATTTGAACAGTAACAATTATCTTTCCTGTTCAAGGCTCAAGCAAGATTTAATGAATCAAGTCAGAAACTGGACCTTTTAAAGTATTCATTAGAGCAAAGATTAAATGAGCTTCCCAGGAATCATCCCAAAAGCAGTATTATAATTGAGGAGCTTTCACTTGTTGCATCACCAACACTAAGTCCACGTCAAAGTGTGATATCTACCCAAAACCAATACAGTACACTATCTAAACCAGCGGCATTAACAGGTATGTAGCATGTGTTCCCATGGGATATTTTTTGTTTGTTTGTTTGTTTGTTTGTTTTTGAGCATTTCTGTCTATATCTGGTTCTGGTTTAATAAATGAGAAAGAAAAAGTGTACACAAGACAAAATTTACCATCTTAACCATTTTAAAGTCTATAATTCCATATCATTTAGTATGTTGTATCATTCAGTAAGTTGTATGACCATTATCACTCTCTAGTTCCAGAACATTTTCATAATCCCAAAAGGAAACCCTGTACCCATTCAGCAGTCATTCCCCATTTCTTTCTACCCCTAGCCACTTTCTAGCCCTAGCCACTAATCTGCTTTCTATTTCTATGGATTTGTCTATTTTGATATTTTAGATAAATGGAATCATATAGTATCTGGCCTTTTGTGTCTGATTTCCTTCACTTAGCATAGTGTTTTTACCCTTTAGCTTTTGTGAATAGTGCCTCCATGAGCATATGTCTGCAAGTTTTTCTTTGAACACCTGTTTTCAATTCTTTGGGATATATACATGGGAGTGGAATTTCTCGATCACAGGGTAAATTCTATTTAATGGTCAAAGAATCACCGAACTGGTTACATTATTTCACATTGTCAATACTAATGTTAGGAGGGTTCCAGCTTCTCCACACCCTAGTCAACACTTGCTATTCCCACCTGCCCACCCCACCACCCCCCAGTAAATTATAGTCATTGTAGTGAATGGTGTGAAAAGAGCCCTCCTGGCTCAATGGTTAAGGGCTCAGCTGCTAATGAAGAGGTCAGAAGTTCAAACCCTCTAGTGGCTCAGTAGGGAAAAAAGACCTAGCCATCTACTCCTGTAAAGATCACAGCCTAGGAAACCCTGTGGGGCAGTTCTACTCTGCCTTATGGTGTTATTATGAGTTCGAGTCGACTTCATGGCACCAACAATAGTGGGCTGTGAAACGATATCTCACTATATTTCATTTATTTGTTTGTTTATGGTTTGGGTGAAAGTCTACAGAGCAAATTAGTTTCCATTCAACAATTTATAAATGTTTTGTAACATTTGTTGCAATTCCCACAATGTAACAGCACTCTTCTCACTTCCTCCCTGTGTGGTTCTTTCCTGTCCCTTTCTGCCTTCTGAGCTTTGTTTTGGGCAAATGCTGCCCTTTTGGTCTCATATGGTTAATTGTTCTGAAGAGTATGTGCCTCACAAGCATTTTTGTTCACTTCATAGGCCCATATGTTGTTTGGCTGAAAGGTGGGTTTTGTTCCACCTTTGTGAAGGGTAAATAAGAGCAATAGTCTCAGCATTTCAACTAAACCAGAAAAATACCTAACCCACTGCTATTGTGTCTGTTCTGACTCATAGCAACCCCCATTGTGTTTCCAAGGCTATAAATCTTTTACAGAAATAGATTGCCTCATCTTCCTCCCACAGAGCAGCTGGTGGGTTTGAACCATCAACTTTCTGGTTAGCAGACAAGTACCTTACCCACTACACCACTGCAAAAAGGATAAGGAGGCCACATATTCTGACCTCCTGTTGTTGTTGTTGTTGTTATGTGCCCTCGAGTCGGCCCCGACTCATAGCGACCCCTCCTTGGGTTTCTGAGGCAGTATCACTACGGAAGTAGGAATGCCCAACCTTCCTCTGACCTCCTAGAACCCCACAAGAGGAAGACAGAATCGCCATTAATAGCCCAAGACCTATTCCTGCGAGGCCAGACATGCTGCCTCCCTCCAGCCCTTTCTCCAACCGTTCCTCCCAGAGCACCCACCACCTCTCTCTTGGATTCGATAATTCGCTGCAGTGGCCACACAGAGCTCACAGATTATGGAGTTTATTAGGGAAGCACCATAGGCTACAATTCAAGTTCAGGAAAAATGCTCAGTCTCTCTCCCAGCCCACCGTCCCTCAGCCAACAGTCTCTAACAGTCTCTTTTCCAGCAGTGCTGGTCCGTCAGTGTCTCACTCAGCAATGCGTGTCTCTTGCATCTCTTTTCCCAGGAGCACATGTCTCTTTCAGCAGCACATCTTCCTCAACCAGCAGTCAGAGAGCGTTCTGCCTCTAGGAGGCCTCCTTGTGAGCCTGGCAGAGTGGCCAAACCAACGAATCATAACAACAGAATTCTAAGCACCTGAGAATGAGCCTCCCATAACAGTACAACAGAAAAGCCCAGGTGGATAACATTTACAATCAGGAACTCCTCAGTTGCTCATTCCACCACTGAGTTTACAATGACTTACGGGTAGAAAAGCCATACTAAGTAATTTACTACACTGTAACCACCATAGCTACTTCAGGGGTTCCACTAGTCTCTATCAAACCAGCAAGTCTGGTGTTCTTTATGATTTTGAAATTTGTTCTACATTTTTCTCCCGTTCTGTCCAGAACCTTGTGTGGTCCTGATCAGAGTGATTGATAGTGGTAGCCAGGCACCATCTAGTTCTAGTCTCCAGGTAGTGGAGGCTGCAGTTCATGTGGTTCGTTAATCCTCTCGACTGATTGTTTCCTTGAGTCTCTGATTTTCTTCACTCTTCTTTGCTTTGGGTGGGGAGAGACCAACTGTTGCATCTTTGATGGCTGCTCATTAGCTTTCAAGACCCCAGTCACTACTCACCACAGTAAGACATAGAACATTATCTTTGTGAACATTGTGAACATTGCCCCAGTGTCCTCCAAGACTGGTCCTAAAGCTTCTAAGCTTTAAGACTCATTCCTTCAAGGTGTTTGGTTATGGCTAAGTTTTCGTAAGTTTGCTTCCTGTTTGCTCTATTATGTGAATGGATTTATTTGCTGCACCTGCAAATATGAAAGTAGAAATACCATACCCCCTGACAAGCCTGTATGTGCACATGTAGTCCTGTTCAGCTTACATATCTGCCTATGAATCCACTCATAGATTGTTGTTTATTGTTATGTTATTGCAGGATTGTGTATGTAATAGTATTTAACTTATAGTGTAACTCTTGTGCAACTCTGTCTTCTTTTGCCTTGGTCTTCCTGTGCTGTTCTCCCCCCTTACTGTATATTCACCCAAGTTAATGTGTCAATTCTAGTTAGAGATTTTCTTCCCTTCCCCCAACTCCCTTCCCTGGTAAACATCAAGGAATGTTTCTTTCTGTGTGTAAACATTTTCTTGACTTTTCATGGTAGGGGTCTCATACAGTATTTGTCTTTTAGTGTTTGAATTATTTCGCTCAGCCCACTATCCTCCAGGTTCATCCATATTGTGAGATGTTTGGCTGATTCATCATTGTTCTTTAACATTGTGTAGTATTCTATCATGTGTATATACCATTGTTTGTTTATCCATTCATTCAGTGATACACACTTAGGTTGTTTATATCTTTTTGCTATTGTAAATAATGCTGCAGTGAACATGGACATGCATATACTCACTTCGGTTTTGATTTGCATTTCCCTGACTAATGATGTTGGACAGCTTTCATATGGTTACCGGCCATTTGTATATCTTCTTTGGAGATATGTCTGTTCAAGTCCTTTGTTCATGTTTTAATTGGATTGCTTGTCTTTTTGTTGTTTGGCTGTAACTGTTGTTTATACATTCTGACCTTATCAGATACGTAATTTTTAAAAGGACTGTTGTGATCTATTAGGGTTTTCACTGGCTTAATTTCCTTTATTGTTTTATTCCCCGCCCCCCCCCCCACTGGCTGAATTTCTAATGTAGATTGCTATGCATTTCTCCTTAGTCCTTTATTTAAGTCTTTGATTCACTTTTAGTTAATTTTTATATTATAATGTGAGGTAGAGGTCCATCTTCATTCTTTTGAATGTAGCTGTCTAATTGTCCCTTCGCTACTTGTTGAAGAGACTATTCTTTCTTCTTTGAATGCTTTTGCCACCCTTGTCAAAAACCATTAACCCGTGACGTATAAGTTTCTTACTAGATTCTCAGTTCTATTCCATTTATCTATATGCCTATCCTTGTGCCAGCACCACATTGTTTTGATTATTGTTGCTTTGTAGTAAGTTTTAAAATTGGGAAGCGTGAATTTCCAACTTTGCTCTTCTTTTTGAAAATTATTTTGACTGTTACTTTGACTTACTTACAAATTATTTTGACTGACTTTGCAATTTGGTAAGGAATTTTAGGCCTGGCTTTTCAATCAATGTCTGTAAAATACTGGGATTTTTCATAGGGATTACATTGAATCTGTAGATCACTTTGGGAAGAACTGCCATCTTAATGACATTAAGTCTTGCAATCCATGAACACAAGATTTCTTTCCATTTATATAAAGCCAAACTCACTGCCATCAAATTGATTCCAACTCATAGTGACCACCATTGGGTTTCCAAGGCAGTAAATCTTTATGGAAATAGACTGCCCCATCTTTCTTCCACATAGCAGTGGTGGGTTTGAACCACTGACCTTTTGGTTAGCAGCCAAATAGCTTAACCACTACACCACCAGAGCTCCTTTTCCATTTATATAGATCTTCTTTAATGTCTTTTAGCAGTGTTTTATAGCTTTATATGTATGAGTCTTACATGCCTTTGTGATATAACTGTAAAGGGAATTGTTTTCTTAATTTTCTTCAGATTGTTTATTTCTAAACCACACAAAACTAAACCTGTTGCCACCAAGTCCATTCTGACTTATAATGACCCTGTTAGGGTAGAACTGCCTTATGGTATTTCCAAGGCTGTAACCTTTAAAGAATCAGACTGCCACATCTTCCTCCTGTGGAGCAGCTAGTGGATTCAAACTGCTGCGTTTTAGTTAGCAGCCAAGTGCTTAAGCAGTACACCACAGGGCTCCTTGTTTATTGGTGGAATATAGAAATACAACTAATTTTGGGGTCTTGATCTTGTATCCTTCAACCTGGCTAAATTAATCTGTTAGCTCCAATTAAGGGGTGTGTGTGTGTGTGTGTGTGTGTGGCTTCAGTAATATTTTCTGTATGTAAGATTACTGTAGGAGCTCTGGCAGTGTAGTGGCTAAGGCACTTGACTGCTAACCAGAAGGCTGGTGGTTCAAACCCACCAGCCAC